CAAGCTTAATGTTCTTCCAGATTCTCTTCTAAAAATTAAGTAAACACTGATTCAAGAATCAGTCATGTGTAAGTATGGTTTATATGGTCTTGAGTGAGACCATGGTTTATATGGTCATGATGATGACAGTCATTGATGAGATCCTTTAAAACAGAAAACTCCAACAATTTTTGAAACATTTAAAGGAAACCTTTTACAGTAGAATTTAAAATGCCATGTCCACTTTAATGTCCATCGTGACATATTCATTTTCAGCTTTGCAATGGAGGATCTGTGACTGATCTTGTGAAAGGGTTTCTGAAGAGGGGTGAAAGAATGAGCGAGCCTATAATTGCCTATATCTTACACGAGGCACTCATGGTAAGCCAATTTGAATTCTTTGTGCATTAATTAGGAGGAAATTCTAAGTAAAATGTGGATTCTATTTTTAGAAAAATATAAGCTATCTTGTAATTAATTGCACCAATTAATATTTATCAGTACAAGAGCTGTGCAGCCTGGATGATCAGCATGGTCGATGTGTGTTCACCATTAGAAGTCTTATTTCTCTCCTCAATAGCATCTTGATTTCAGACCTTCTAAGCATTTTCTTCATTTTGATAGGGAAAGATAGAAAATGAATTTTTACTAGTGTTTAAGTTTTTTTTATTTGCCACTATCTTCAATAAGTAACATGTAGAATGCTTTCTTTTATTGGGATCAACATATTTCTAAAGACTTTGGAGGTTCAGAGAGATGGCTCAGAGGTTAGAAGTACTTGTCACCATATCCTATGGCCTGACTTCAGTCCCCTAGGACCCACAGGGTGGAAGGAGAGCAAGAACTCCCACAAGTTATCCTCTAACCTCCACATGCATTCACATACATAGAAACACACACAGAAACATGCACACATACACACACATACATATACACACAAATAGATAAAGTAATTTTAAATTTTTAAAGATTTTTGTAAATGTTAAGGGTTTTCTGTGTGAATTTTTATATAATTCAAACTGGAAGTGATACACTTGGATTTGACTAACTCAGTGGGGAATACGAAGGAATACCTGAGCCTTGATTCTGACATGTGTTTGGTACTGAGTCTATATAAATGCATCATTTTAAAACTGCTTTTTTTTAATGCTTAAAGAATCCTTATACACTTTCTGTCTTCCAGGGACTTCAGCACTTGCATAACAACAAAACCATCCACCGTGATGTGAAGGGAAATAACATCCTGTTGACTACTGAAGGTGGAGTGAAGCTAGTAGACTTCGGTAAGTTTTGTGGAAAAAAACTGATTTGAGCAGCAGAATGAGCTCATGACTTTCTCGTTTCCAGCGTGCTTCCTTTTCTCTGAAGTGAAAGTAGGGAAACATCAGCATCTCCTTGAGATGAAATGGGATTTCCAGCCTTAGAGTGACTCAGCTTAGCCCCATACAATGCTGGTGTAGGCATTTTGTGTATTTTACCCTCCAAAGCAGGCAGCATCCCAAATGATTCTCTAAGTCTATCATGGGGAATCCCCTGGCCTCTACCAGTGATCTCTATAAACAGACACATGTCCAAGTCTAGGATTTTAAGATGGGAGGGAAAACATTCAAGTGTCAGCCTGGAATATTTCCTCTCTCCTAAGGAAACAAGGGAAAGATGATCTGATCACAATGCCTGAAATGTCGGTGTTTTCCATGGGACCAAGGTCTTATTACTGAAGAAGGCAGTACTGAATGAGGAAGGAATGGGCATCCTGGACAGCATGATTGAACCAAGTCAATTACTTTCATGCCTACTTTTTCCTGTTATGTAACATAGCAAATTTCCATATTTACAAAACCAATTTGGGATTTTCATGTGGTAGCCAAAGATACCAAAGTTCATGTCTCTTCTGGGCAGGAGTTTTTCACTTTGAAGGTGCTCCTGTGCATCGTCTTGTTTGACCTACTAATCCACTAGTCCTGTGAGAGCAGTGCACCTCAATGGCCTTAGCACTGTCTCCCTTTCCTCCTCCAGCACTGCAGCTGGGTAAGGTGCTTGCCTGTGCTTCTAGACCCTGTGTTTTGCTATATTTTTATCTCATAGAATTATTTGGTCTTTATAGGTGAATGGAGATATTTAGAAATATCAATAGACAAGCTGTGTCTTTGAAAACGAAGACTGTGCCTCAGTTTACTTTTCAGACCTAGTACTTTGAGTATAACAATTCAAAGTTTCTTTCATTTTAGAAACTGAAACTCAACAAAGTGAGCTGATTAATTTTAGAAATTTCTATAAAATCCAAGTCCATAATGCCCTGGTTTTTTTTTTTTTTTAAAAAATTGAGTTTTATAATTTCATACAACCTTCCCCCCATCTATGCCTCCCAAACCCCCATGGGACCTCATGTATTCCATCTAAGTCCTGTCCAGTCAAGCATTTGTACCCAGATGTCCTTCAGTGTAAATTTGTCTACTGGAGTCTAGTCAGCCCACCTAGAGACCGTATGTATGTCATACTCTCCCTCATCCAGCATCAGTCAGTCTCCAATAGTTCTCAGTCTAGGGTTGCCCGCCACCCATTTCTCTCCTCCCCTTTGGGCCCTTGTTTAATTGAGTTGGCATGGGTCCTATGCTTCAGGCCACCATTGTCACAAGTTCACATATACTAGCTTCCAGTAACCTGAAAACCTCTGCTTCCTTGTGTTCATGAACCAGCCCTGGCTCTTACGATCTTTCCATCCCCTTTTCCACAATGGTCCCTGAGTCGTGGGTGAATGAGGTTCAATATAGGAGTCCTGTCCAAGGAAACACATTCTGCAGTCTCTTATTTAAAACTTGGCCAGTGGTGGCCATCTCTGTGCATTGCACTGTGTTGTATAAGGAAGCTTTACCAGTGTGAGTTAAGGGATGCATTCGTTTTCTTTCTACCCCTTGCTCTTCTATGTTCCATGAACCTTAGGTGTAGAGGTTCAACTGTAGATGTGTCACCTAGTACTGGGCATTGCTCAGACATATATTCTCTGTGTCTGACCAGTTGTGGAATTCTGCCGTAGCCTCCATCTGTTGCAAAATGGAGCTTCTTTGATGAGTGGTACATGGTATGCTTGTCTGTAAATATAAGGATCTATATTTAGCATATGGTAAGAAATTTCATTTGTCTAGAGATAAAAAAGATAAGGTTTTCTCTAGGATCTATGTCCTCTCCTGCCATGTGTATTTGACTGAGTGTACAGTGCCACTCATGCGTTCACTCCCATAGAGAGGGTTTTAAGTACAATTAGATAGCTGATGATTGCCCCCAGGTGAGAGTGCCACTACTGCACCAATAGAGGTGGTTTGCCATGCCAGTCATTATGGCTATTATTAGGCTTTAGGAATGGGTTGGACTATTGGTTGTTTTCTTCCCTTGGCAGTTTGCATATCATCATCTAGCATTATGATAGCTAAACTTCAGATAGAAGGCTTCCAGGTCAGTTTCTGCTCCTTTGCTCCAAGTCCTGTATCCAAAGCATGCCCTGTGTCCAGCAGTAGGATCTTATCTACTAGTTCTGGGAGATAACCTAGAGGTTTGGCAATAGCCTGTGTTACTTTGGGAGTCTCCTGGACCATTCTCACCAACCACTCAAAGGGAGGGCTCTTCTGTAGGGCACTGTGTTCCTTCCCAAGCAGATCCCAGGCATACATATGCAAAAATGTTTAGACACTCTATGTGCATTTCCCATGGGGTTTCAGGGGCATCATATTTCCCCTGGGTTTCCTAGGCCCCTCAAGAGTTATTCATCTCTACTCTTCTTCCTCCCATCCGGCCTCCCTCCTGCCCCCAGTCCCAGCACCCCCATTATCCCCATCTTCCCCCAATGATACCAACCTCCCACCAATCCCCTCCCTTCTGACTTCCCTCCCCCATCCACTGTTTTCAGTTAGCCTGTGCATGATATTCAGGTCATGTAGAAAGGTGTAGATAAACAGCAGACCCTTGAAATATGTTTTGTATTTTATGCTGTTTTTCTCACCTGAACTTTTTTTAATTGTTTAAACTATTTGGGTTTTATCTTACTTTTTATTTATTTTTATAAAAATAACTTTATTGTAATGAAATATAAGCTAGTGCAGCTACATTAACGTAGTCACTCAAACACACTCTTGTCCAGTCCCAAACTCAACATATCTGGATGAACTTCTTACAGTTAGAATGGACATTCCGAAGCCACAGAGCTCCACGTAGGATTTTACATGTTCACTATCAACCACCTGAACTTTTGCATACTGCTCAACAACAATGAGTTTGTCAGAAAATAACTGATTTGTAAATCAGGTGGAGCCAGTCTCTGTTTGCTGGTTGAGTTCAGAGTCATGTGATTCAGTGATCACGGAGGCTAAGGGACTAATACAGACTTTGGTTTGAAATTCAAAATAGCAAGAATAATCAAACATTTTGCTTCACTGACCCACAGGCAGGGCCACTGTTCTCCCTAGAAAATAATTCTGCCTCCATTCTAAGACTTGATAGAACTTGGAGAACTTGACACTGGACTTGAGATCTTATAATTCCCACATTCTACAAAACATAGTAATGTAGACTAGGTTGGACAATGCTTAATGACAAGTAATCATTTTTTCCAGCCATTAAATAAAATTCTAATAAACCAGTGGCCTTGAGAAATATACTTTTAGGTACTGAAATATTTTCCAAAAAAATCTATTTTAAATTTTTTAACAGTTTTTTTATTATTTTTATTTTATGTGCACGAGTGTATTGCCTGCATGTATGTTAGTGCACCCATGTCATGCAATGCTGCAGAGGTCAGAAGAGGGCTTCAGAGTCCCCTGGAACTGTAGTTAAGGACTGTTCGTAGCCACCATGTGGGTGCTGGGAATCGAACCCGGGTCCTCTGCAAGAGCAGTAAGTGCTCTTAACCGCTGAGCCATCTCTCCAGCCCCTAAAAATATTTGTAGATAGCCAACAAGATGATTATTTTGTTTTGCTTAGCATATACTAGGCAAGCACTGTACTCCACTATGTCTCCAGCCCAAGGTGACCTTTTATATGACAGCTTTATAAATTGTTACACATTGGCTAACAAAATGAGAACTTTGATTTTAGATTAGTTTGTTTCTAGCCTTATGACAATCATTAGGAAATAAGACAAGTTGTCTATTAAATGCATTCTTAGTTGTACTACCAAAATCATATTATTTGCACCTAAGATAATGTTTATATTTCTGTTCTCCATGGTGAGCACATATGGATTCAGTTTGCTAAAATGATCAGTAGGTTTTTACATTAATTAAAGTCGAGGGTGATCAGTATGTGCAAATATAGAGCAGAGCTCTTTGCAAGCAGGAGCAACAACCCAAAATCAATATCCTCGTTTTATATGTAAATCAAATTTTCAGAGATGGCTGCTTCTTGGAACAAAAAGTTTTAGAGTAAATTTTACTTGAATTTCTTACATCCTAAAATACACCCTGAGCTCATTACAGGGCTGCTGAAGATGGTAGGTGAGTGGTAGGCACCACGGACCCAGGTTTTCCACAATGGAACTTCATTACCTCACTCAGAAATTATTGTGTGTCAGAGGTTTCCTGTCTAGAGTCGTCTGTACTTACCCAGTGATCCAGCCCCAACTGGTCCCTTGTCCTCACCCCCCACATATACAACTACTCACAGAACTTATCTCTGTTAGATGTCCTCAGATCCAGCCTTCCTGCTTCTTCCTGACCATCCCTGCCTGGCCTCCTGCAGTGACTTTTCCTGAATAGTGGGCATCTAATCTCATTCCTTTTAGAGTCCAGACTGCAAGCAGAAAGATCCTTCTAAGAAACTCATCTATTCCTGCCATTTTCTTGTTAACTATTCCACTTAATAACTTCCTGTAACAGCATAAAATGAGCTTCTCATTATTTTTTTATTTTTAATGTTTTGTAATTTTTAGTTGTGCAAATTCATCAGACGCACTACAATTCAGTCCATGTATGCATTAATAAAGCAAGGGTAGTTAACATTTCCACCTCTTACCATGATGCTGTTTGGTGATTTCAAGTTCTTCTCTTTCATGTGTTCATAGAATTATGAACCTCAGTGTGAACAGTCACCCGTGTGCTGTGCTGTGCTAGGATTTGTTACTTCAGTCTCTGTTTTGATACCTGTTATTCAACCTCCTTCTGCCCCTCCCTCTCCAACCCTCCTCATTGTCTAGTAATCTCTATTGGGTATTCTGATTGACCATGAAAATATATGGCATTGTCTGTCTGACTCTGACTTATTTCAGATAATTACCTCTGGCTCCTTTATTTTGCTA